TTGTGGGTGAAACAGGCTAAATGTGTTGTGGGTGACACAGGCTAAATGTGTTGTGTGTTGCACAGGCTAAATGTGTTGTGTGTGACACAGGCTAAATGTGTTGTGTGTTGCACAGGCTAAATGTGTTGTTTGACACAGGCTACATGTGTTGTGGGTGACACAGGCTAAATGTGTTGTGTGTTGCACAGGCTACATGTGTTACACGGGCTAAATGTGTTGTGTGTTGCACAGGCTACATGTGTTACACGGGCTAAATGTGTTGTGTGTTACACAGGCTAAATGTGTTGTGTGTTACACAGGCTACATGTGTTACACGGGCTAAATGTGTTGTGTTTGACACAGGCTAAATGTGTTGTGTGTTACACAGGCTAAATGTGTTACACAGGCTAAATGTGTTGTGTGTTACACAGGCTAAATGTGTTACACAGGCTAAATGTGTTGTGTGTTACACAGGCTAAATGTGTTACACAGGCTAAATGTGTTACACAGGCTTAATGTGTTGTGTGTTACACAGGCTAAATGTGTTACACAGGCTAAATGTGTTATGTGTTACACAGGCTAAATGTGTTACACAGGCTAAATGTGTTGTGTGTTACACAGGCTAAATGTGTTACACAGGCTAAATGTGTTGTGTGTTACACAGGCTAAATGTGTTGTGTTACACAGGCTAAATGTGTTGTGTGTTACACAGGCTAAATGTGTTGTGTTACACAGGCAAAATGTGTTGTGTGTTACACAGGCTAAATGTGTTGTGTGTTACACAGGCTAAATGTGTTGTGTGTTACACAGGCTAAATCTGTGACACAAGCTAAATGTGTTACACAGGCTAAATGTGTAATCTGACATAGGTTAGAAGTGTTACGCAGGTTAAAAATAGGTTACTATTTCTGTCTGTATGGGTGTGTTTAAACTAATAAATTAATAAAATAATAAAAAATAAATTTAATTTAAAAAAAAAATAAAAATAATAACACACACCATGTTCAATCTTCTACTATACAAATAAATAAATAAATATATATATATATGTGTGTGTGTGTGTGTGTGTGTGTGTGTGTGTGTATATATATATATTAGAAGATTGAACATAGTGTGTGTTATTTCCCAGTTTTACAACTAAATGTGTCGCTATTCATTACAGGCTGGCCATTACATGGATTAACTTGATGTATTAGTTTTATTCATTACAGACTGGCCATTACATAGACTGACTTGATGTGTTAGTTTTATTCATTACATAGACTGACTTGATTCGTTTATAGAAGAGTCCGCTGAAACCCAAGTAAACAGAGTGTTGTTTCCATATGTCTAATAATTAATTTCTAATCACAGCCACACTGACGCTAGCATGGTTTACTTTCAATATGGGAACAACGTAGAGAGGCTAGTGAATAGGGTATATGTGGGTGGGTGTGGGGGTGTGGGGGTGTAGATCTCTCAGGGGAGTGCCTGTAAATTGTATTGCCGTAGGTGGGGGTGGAGGCGTTGGGTTGGAGGCGTGGGGTGCTAGTAAAGAAACACGATCACCTAGTGGGAGATAATGTTTTTCTTCAAACATCATGCATGTATTTGTTTATCCATTGAACATCAAACACATGTAGTTGTTAATCCATATGTATTTGTGCATCCATTGAACATCAAACGTATGTATTTGTTCACCCATTGATCATCAAACATGTATTTGTTCATCCATTGAACATCAAACACATTTATTTGTTCATCCATTGAACATCAATAATTTGCTATCCATTAAAGTGTACTCATACACAACTTGTACACATCTTGTACACATCTTGCTCACATCTTGTACACATCTTGCACACATCTACTCACACAAATTGCACACGCCGGTTATGTACTTTTAGCAATAAAATGAAAAGTAATGTCCAACATTATGTCAATTTTAATGCTCTAAGTACACACGTTGACAGATAGTACTTTTATCAGACCACAACAGACCACAACAGACCTCCATGTTGAGCACCGGGTGTCAACTAAAAAAAAAAAATGTGACCTTACTGTGGCCGATATTCAGGGCCAGATTAACCTCCACCCCTCCATCGCTGTGTTAAACCATCACAGGAGGTCAAACAACCAGCCGATTGCAACAATGTCGGGCGATAGATTCTGATTTGTTTGTTGCCCAACTTGTTACTTCGACTTCTCAAAAGTTACCTGACAACATTTCAACTTCTCAAAAGTTACCTGACAACATTTCAACTTCTCAAAAGTTACCTGACAACATTTCAACTTCTCAAAAGTTACCTGACAACATTTCAACTTCTCAAAAGTTACCTGACAACATTTCAACTTGTCGAAAGTTACCGTCAAAATCTACCCTTGTCAAAAGTTACCGTCAAAATCTACTCTTGTTGAAAGATACCGTCAAAATCTACTCTTGTTGAAAGATACCGTCACAATCTACCCTTGTTGAAAGATACCGTCACAATCTACCCTTGTTGAAAGATACCAACAAAAATCTACTAAAATCTACCCGTCGCAGTTCAAGCCTTCAACTTTACATGGTACTCTATCATTACCTAGTCATGTGACTTCAACTTTACATGGTACTCTATCATTACCTAGTCATGTGACTTCAACTTTACATGGTACTCTATCATTACCTAGTCATGTGACTTCAACTTTACATGGTACTCTATCATTACCTAGTCATGTGACTTCAACTTTACATGGTACTCTATCATTACCTAGTCATGTGACTTCAACTTTACATGGTACTCTATCATTACCTAGTCATGTGACTTCAACTTTACATGGTACTCTATCATTACCTAGTCATGTGACTTCAACTTTACATGGTACTCTATCATTACCTAGTCATGTGACTTCAACTTTACATGGTACTCTATCATTACCTAGTCATGTGACTTCAACTTTACATGGTACTCTATCATTACCTAGTCATGTGACTTCAACTTTACATGGTACTCTATCATTACCTAGTCATGTGACTTCAACTTTACATGGTACTCTATCATTACCTAGTCATGTGACTTCAACTTTACATGGTACTCTATCATTACCTAGTCATGTGACTTCAACTTTACATGGTACTCTATCATTACCTAGTCATGTGACTTCAACTTTACATGGTACTCTATCATTACCTAGTCATGTGACTTCAACTTTACATGGTACTCTATCATTACCTAGTCATGTGACTTCAACTTTACATGGTACTCTATCATTACCTAGTCATGTGACTTCAACTTTACATGGTACTCTATCATTACCTAGTCATGTGACTTCAACTTTACATGGTACTCTATCATTACCTAGTCATGTGACTTCAACTTTACATGGTACTCTATCATTACCTAGTCATGTGACTTCAACTTTACATGGTACTCTATCATTACCTAGTCATGTGACTTCAACTTTACATGGTACTCTATCATTACCTAGTCATGTGACTTCAACTTTACATGGTACTCTATCATTACCTAGTCATGTGACTTCAACTTTACATGGTACTCTATCATTACCTAGTCATGTGACTTCAACTTTACATGGTACTCTATCATTACCTAGTCATGTGACTTCAACTTTACATGGTACTCTATCATTACCTAGTCATGTGACTTCAACTTTACATGGTACTCTATCATTACCTAGTCATGTGACTTCAACTTTACATGGTACTCTATCATTACCTAGTCATGTGACTTCAACTTTACATGGTACTCTATCATTACCTAGTCATGTGACTTCAACTTTACATGGTACTCTATCATTACCTAGTCATGTGACTTCAACTTTACATGGTACTCTATCATTACCTAGTCATGTGACTTCAACTTTACATGGTACTCTATCATTACCTAGTCATGTGACTTCAACTTTACATGGTACTCTATCATTACCTAGTCATGTGACTTCAACTTTACATGGTACTCTATCATTACCTAGTCATGTGACTTCAACTTTACATGGTACTCTATCATTACCTAGTCATGTGACTTCAACTTTACATGGTACTCTATCATTACCTAGTCATGTGACTTCAACTTTACATGGTACTCTATCATTACCTAGTCATGTGACTTCAACTTTACATGGTACTCTATCATTACCTAGTCATGTGACTTCAACTTTACATGGTACTCTATCATTACCTAGTCATGTGACATTAGGAATTCTAACGCGACCACCACCCCGCTTTGGAAAATCTGCGTCAGTTGATGGCCCAGTGTTGACGTCAGTTGATGGCTCAGTATTGGCGTCAGTTGATGGCCCAGTCTGTGTTGATGGCCCACCTATTTTGAAATATCCTTCTATATATATATATGTATCCAAGCTTTTTACATATTAATGTCTTTGTTCTATATTTTATGTTATTCTATTATTTTTTTTTTCAAATGCATGTTTGCAACTGCCAATGTGGGAAAAGGCCACTGTATCGTGTAAAGCCACCACAGAAAACAAAGTTGTTGGATTATTTTGTAACAAATCACAAATGTCACCACATGAAGTCATACCACAGTTACTTGTACTGTTTAACCGACTGTATAACCGACTGTATAACCAAATGTTTAACCGACTGTATAACCGGCTGTATAACCGACCGTTTAACCGACTGTATAACCGACTGTATGACCGACCGTTTAACCAACTGTATAACCAACTGTATAACCGACTGTATAACCGACTGTATAACCGACCGTTTAACCGACTGTTTAACCGACTGTGTAACCCCGACTGTTTAAGCGACTGTTTAACCGACTGTATAACCGACCGTATAACCGACCGTTTAACCGACCGTTTAACCGACTGTTTAACCGACTGTGTAACCCCGACTGTTTAACCGACTGTTTAACCGACTGTGTAACCCCGACTGTTTAACCGACTGTTTAACCGACTGTTTAACCGACTGTATAACCGACTGTATAACCGACTGTATAACCGACCGTTTAATCGACTGTATAACCGACTGTTTAACCGACTGTTTAACCGACGGTTTAACCTTCTATCGTCCACAGTGTTCAGGCCAGACAACGGGGCCTCCGTCCGTCCCTTCCCCAGCGTCCCCATGCTACACGACCAGACCGGCAGCTCCGTGGGGGGCTCCCCGTCCGGGGGCGGGGGCGCCATGCTGCCATCCTTCGGCTTCACGCAGGAGCAGGTGGCCTGCGTGTGTGAGGTCCTGCAACAGGGCGGCAACATTGACCGACTGGCCAGGTTTCTCTGGTCCCTGCCGGCATGTGAACATCTACACAAAAACGAGAGCGTGCTCAAGGCCAAGGCCGTTGTGGCCTTCCACCGCGGCAACTTCAAGGAGCTGTACAAGATCCTGGAGAACAACCAGTTCTCCCCCCACAACCACCCCAAGCTGCAGGCCCTCTGGCTCAAGGCCCATTACGTCGAGGCCGAGAAACTTCGGGGCAGGCCGCTAGGTGCCGTCGGGAAATACCGAGTTCGTCGGAAATTCCCGCTTCCCCGAACCATTTGGGACGGAGAGGAAACTAGCTACTGCTTCAAAGAAAAATCAAGGACCGTTTTAAGGGAATGGTATTCACACAACCCGTACCCCTCCCCCCGCGAGAAGAGGGAGCTGGCCGAGGCGACGGGTCTGACGACGACACAAGTCAGTAACTGGTTCAAAAACAGGCGGCAGCGAGACAGAGCCGCAGAGGCAAAAGACAGGTAAGTCGTGCCTTCCTTACTTCCCTTTATGATATGTTTATAGCCCTTTCTTACTTCCCTTTATATCCCTTTCCTACTTCCCTTTATGATATGTTTACACACTGAGCGCTGCCCTCCCTTGCCGGGTCTTGTCTGTTTACATCAGCACCCCCCCCCCCCCGGGTAATCTGGGGGTTGGGACTGCTGGAGTTGTAATTAACTTGTTGTTTCACACCCACGGCCCACACCTACATTGGACATTACAGTCATAGAGCATTTGATCTTTGTGTGTCAGATGTATACAATACATCATGATGGCATGATGTGTCTACACCATAACATCGTGATGTTTCTAGTCCATAACATCGTGATGTTTCTAGTCCATGACATCGTGATGTCTCTAGACCACAACATCGTGATGTCTCTATTCCATGACATCGTGATGTCGTGATGTCTCTATTCCATGACATCTTGACATCGTGATGTCTCTACCCATGACATCTTGACATCGTGATGTCTCTACCCATGACATCTTGACATCGTGATGTCTCTACCCATGACATCTTGACATCGTGATGTCTCTACCCATGACATCTTGACATCGTGATGTCTCTACCCATGACATCTTGACATCGTGATGTCTCTACCCATGACATCTTGACATCGTGATGTCTCTACCCATGACATCTTGATGTCGTGATGTCTCTACCCATGACATCTTGATGTCGTGATGTCTCTACCCATGACATCTTGACATCGTGATGTCTCACACTAACGTTTCATCACGTGACCTAGACACCTGACATTTGCCCGTGTAACCCTATGTAACCCTAGTATCGCCCTAACAAACAAAAAAAAGTGTAACTTTTATTAGCGATAATTTATATGCATACGTATTTTTTTAATGAACGGCATCCGACCGATGTGGAAATATCAGTCCGATCTTGGTTTAACCAGATTGTTTATGCATTCATTAGCATAATTAACTAAAGTAGGCTTTGTTAGATTGCGTCGCTAGTAGAATAAAAGCAACCAATCAAATATTCAGCCTCTCAAGTCACGTGGTACAATTCTAAAGACCGCCATGTGCGAGGGAGGGGGGAGCTGGGCTCAACTAATGGTAAAATTAATTAAAATTGTTTTCTTCAGTTTCCAATCAATCTAACCGTACAAAATGTACCATCGCAGCTCATTAAAGTTGCACTCCGTGGGTTTTATGGCTTGTATTGCTTTGTTACTCTCACGTACAGAGAAATGATATTTTTAATTGCGTTGTTTTATTACGTGCTCTATTCAAGTGGTGTTCATTGGGCAGTAGAGTTATCTGCCGTGATGATAGGGCAGTAGAGTTATCTGCCCTGATTGACTATATATATATATATATATATATATATATATATATATATATATATATATATATATATATATATATATATATATATATATATATATATATATATATATATACATATATATATATATACATATATATACATATATATATATATATATATATATATATATATATATATATATATATATATATATATATATATATATATATATATATATATATATCCTAGGGGTTTACCAGAAAGCGGACAGAAAATCGAAAAAGCTTATGGGGGCGATATATCAGAAATTAGGCCTACTTGAAATGTAATGTAATTGGTTTTTTTTATGCATGTGTTTATAGCACCAGTGTACTTTGTTTTTGAGGTCTTTCTTAATACAACAGTTTTACACCCCTCTGGTTAATACAGATAGCTTCATTTATACAATATAGTCTACATAGTTATACATGTTTGATGTAGCTAGCTTTATGTTACAAAATATAGTCTACATAGTTATACATGTTTGATGTAGCTAGCTTTATGTTACAAAATATAGTCTACATAGTTATACATGTTTGATGTAGCTAGCTTTATGTTACAAAATATAGTCTACATAGTTATACATGTTTGATGTAGCTAGCTATATGTTACAAAATTTAGTCTACATAGTTATACATGTTTGATGTAGCTCGCGCCATGTCCACAGATGTTAGCTACAACATACCCTGGCTCGGGGTATCAGCCAACAGACCTGCAGAGATTTACTAGTAAAAGTGATCTCCCCGAAATGGCAACTCTGGATATAGACATGATTTTTAATCCATTTTTAATTACTTAATTTTTTTTAAAAGAATAGAATCGCGCTGAAAAAAAATTGCGCACCAAGTAAATGGCAAACAATATATGTATACTAGTTAGGAATATTATTAGTATTTTATAAATACATTTTCGTTTATTGAGAAATCGGAAAGAGCGTACATTACTACTTCCGGTGGACGGAAATTACTCAAAATTTGACAGAAGGCAGAAAACTAGATCTTTTACTTATATGTGAAATTTCTTTATCAATCTGAAAAATCTAAAACTAGAATAAGTCCCACTTCCGGTTATCAGAAATTGCTGAAAAGTTGATACAGAACTACAAAATTGATATAATATTTATATATAAAATTACATCAACATAGCTATAACGGTACTCAAGTTTTCGTGTTTACAGAGATACACACACACACACACACTCAGACATACGGGCTGAATTGCAGAACCCAGTTTTTCCGACACGATTAAGCATAAAACGCCGAAATTTTGATAAATCTAGATTTATAATTTTTGCCCGATTAAAATAATTCCCCTATACTCCGTATACGGGGAAAACTGTCAAAATGTCATGTGATTTTTGTGCACGATTACAAATCTTCCTCTGTACTCTGTATACGAGAAAGTAAAAAGTACAGCTCTACAGCACAGTCGACTAACTCTAAAAGTTGAATTCCCGATCTCTTTCTTGTTCCAACTAGTCAACTTGAGATAAAAACTGGGATAAGCCGTTTTCTCCGTAATTTGACGGGGGGGGGGGGGGGGGGGGGGGGGGGTAGAATTAGAATAAGAAAAATAAGACATTTTTCTAATTTATTTAATTTTCGTGAATTCCAAAACACAACGCTAAAACACAACGCTAAAACACAACGCTAAAACACAACGCAAAAACACAACGCTAAAACACAACGCTAAAACACAACGCTAAAACACAACGCTAAAACACAACGCTAAAACACAACGCTAAAACACAACGCTAAAACACAACGCTAAAACACAACGCTAAAACACAACGCTAAAACACAACGCTAAAACACAACGCTAAAACACAACGCTAAAATACAACGCTAAAATACAACGCTAAAATACAACGCTAAAATTCAACAATAAAATACAACGCTAAAACACAACGCTAAAACACAGCGCTAAAACACAACGCTAAAACACAACGCTAACATACAACGCTAAAATACAACGCTAAAATTCAACAATAAAATACAACGCTAAAACACAACGCTAAAACACAACGCTAAAACACGATGAGTGACGGCGATTGAGTCATGTGCTAGCAATTAATTATGCAACACTTAAAAATGTTTAGTTTTCGAATTGTCCCTCAGATCGGGGTAGTTGACGTGAAAAAGGTGTCATCTTTTTTCTCAGAGATGTTGTGGCCGTGAAAAAGGTGTCATCTTTTGTCTCAGAGATGTTTTGGCCGTGAAAAAGGTGTCATCTTTTGTCCCAGAGAGGTTGTGGCCGTGAAAAAGGTGTCATCTTTTGTCCCATGAAAGAAGCGACAATGCCGATAACAAAGTGATAAGATATAAGAGAAGATGGCGGTCCCACCACTTCCGCTTGACAGGTTGGCCAGTTGGCCAGGGCGGAGATACAAGGAGATACGACTATATATATATGTCTGTGGGGGTGGGGGTGTTGGCATATGGAGGTGTTGGCATATGGAGGTGTTGGCATATGGAGGTGTTGGCATATGGAGGTGTTGGCATATGGAGGTGTTGGCATATGGAGGTGTTGGCATATGGAGGTGTTGGCATATGGAGGTGTTGGCATATGGAGGTGTTGTTGGGGTTTCTGTGTATGTACTTGGGAGGCTTTTCTTTAGTGGCACTCTGGGCAGGCTCTCTCACTTCTAGATTTGTATCTTGTCATCAGTTGTGTCGTTTAAAACTAATGATGTTTCATAGGGACTAAACAACTGAAATCTTGATTATTCAAGTCTTTAAACCACGGATATCGTTTACTTTTCTTTAAGTTGATGTCAGTTCATGAGCTCTATAATTAAACCACACTATTCATTGAACCCACCCACTCCCACCCCTCCTCTCTCTTCACTTAACTTGAGAGGACCAAAATACGATATTGCATAGGATAATTTTTTTAAACTTCCCAAACTTGTATGTAATTGTTGACAGGTTATTGCGTAAAAGTTTTAAAGTTTGTCTGTTATTGTCGGCTGGTATTGTGCTATTATTGTCTAGTAATTGTGTTATTGTTCTCTATTTTTATTTTGTATGTGTAAATGTTAGTTAAGCTTCATTCTTCTATAGGTTTCACCTTTGTTTCATCTTTTTCATCTTTGTTTCACCTTTGTTTCATCTTTGTTTCCCCTTTGTTTCACCTTTGTTTCACATTTATTTCGCCTTTGTTTCACCTTTGTTTCATCTTTGTTTCACCTTTGTTTCACCTTTGTTTCACCTTTGTTTCACATTTATTTCGCCTTTGTTTCATCTTTGTTTCACCTTTGTTTCACATTTATTTCGCCTTTGTTTCATCTTTGTTTCATCTTTGTTTCACCTTTGTTTCACATTTATTTTGCCTCTGTTTCACCTTTGTTTCATCTTTGTTTCATCTTTGTTTCACCTTTGTTTCACATTTATTTCGCCTTTGTTTCATCTTTGTTTCACCTTTGTTTCATCTTTGTTTCACATTTGTTTCACATTTATTTTGCCTCTGTTTCACCTTTGTTTCATCTTTGTTTCATCTTTGTTTCACCTTTGTTTCACATTTATTTCGCCTTTGTTTCATCTTTGTTTCACCTTTGTTTCATCTTTGTTTCACCTTTGTTTCACCTTTGTTTTATTTTTGTTTCACCTTTGTTTCACATTTGGGGTCTATCTGTTTTGTCTTTCAACC